CAAGCTCTAGTGAAAGAAGGAGTAGGAAAAATGGAGTCTAAATTCTCACAGAATATCCCAGTTCAGAATGAAAATTCAAATCAGCACCTCCTGGAGGTCACAGACAGCTTCCCTGAAGAGTGGCTCACCCCCCAGACACAAAGCATCTTCAGCCAGAATTGTAGAGTCTTGGATTGGGTACTAAATGAGTGGAAGTGAGTAGCAAAGGGGAGGTGGAAAAACAGTGATAGAATGCCCATAGTGGGAACAAATCCAAAGAAAACATCAATGGATGAATAAATCACAATATGGTATAGATCCAGGCCTAGGTGAGGGAGTCAATCCATCATCATGGACTAAGCTTTTGAGACACGATAGATTAACTGAATGTGGTAGTCATGAGCCCAAAAGAAAATGTACAGAGCCAAGAAAACAGAAATCCTAGAAGCAAATGCCTCCCTGTCTGAGGAAGTAAAAAACAACGGAGGTGTCTGAACTGAGCATGATAAGAAATGCAGACAGACAAGACTGAAGATGATGGCAGGCCTGCAAGCAACCATAAGCTCAAGGATGTTTAGAAAGATAAATCTTGCCTTTGGAGACCAGATGTTGGAAATGGATCTGGTGTTCAAAACTGCACCTCACCATAACAAAAGCAGTGGAAAGGTGAGGTTGTATGATTGTTTAGCATCAAGCACATAACCAAAAAAATGTAGCACCTGTGCAACACTCACCATGGGTATGGAAACCCACATATTTAAGTTGAAGGATTTTACAGACTGACTTCTGAGTCCTGAAGTCTCCAGACAGATGCAAGTCTGGGTAAGGTAGGAGAAGAAGGACATCCAGGTTCATGAGGGATCAAGTAAGAGTTCCCTCGGTTCCAAATTAACAGTTTCTCATTTTTTGATGGATGATCGATTTGGGTTCTCAAACACTTTCTCCACATCCTAACTTATATGACCACCTTTCACATTTGTCTGCAGTGGTTGAACATTTTGTTCACAGTTCTTCCCTTTGAGTTTGCTATGGCTCCATCTTTTTTGCAATGGGTCAGATGGGAACCAAAGTTGGGTCAAGTGGGACAGACTGATATTTAGCAGATAACCTCCTATTTTTGTGATAATGATAAAAAAAATGGTAGTAAAACTCCACAAGAAGGTTGATAAATCGTCTTTTGGCAGTTGAGACAGGTGAGGTGGATAGTAAAGGTACAAAAAATAACCCTGAGAACTGCAGAACTCAATAGGCTATAGCAAAGAGAGTCCACCAATGGTCAAAGTGGAAGAACAGAGCTTCCACAGGACCACTGCAACATGGTGGCACCAGAAACAAATTTCTTCTAAGATCCATGATGGTCAGCCAGCTCTCAAAGAGAAGGGGGACAGTGGATAGTAACAAAAAAAACAAGGAACAGAAAAGATAGCAACTCCACAAGGTCATATATGCTGAGAAACCTGGTTGGGTCCCTGGTCCCAAGGGCAAGAAACCAAAATGAGTAGAAATGACTGCAAAAGAGCAACATCAACTCAAGATACTGATGTATAAGAAATACCAAAAAAAAAAAAAACACATCCCAAAGAAAATGTGTAAGACAGATCCTAGAGAGGATAATGAAGAAAGTAAAAATCAAAGTAAAGCAACATGACAAAAGACACTCCAGAAACAAGTATATCAAGGTAACCGGGACAAATGGAATAAAACTAAGGGCAGGATTTAAAACAGGTATGTGCAAGTTGTCTGAGTAAAGATGATATGGTCATGATGAAAAGCCTCCAAATGAAGAAGTATGAAAATGAACAAAGATGTTGAAGAAAAGAAGAAGATGAGTAAATGGAGATAAAGAAAAGGGATAGAAAAAAGAGAAAATCATTAAACAAAAATAAAAAATCAGATAAAGGAGGATCATGCAAAAAGGGAGCCTGAGATTCAGCAAAAAATTACTGGATGAAAAATAAAACAAAAGACACATACCTGTGGAATCCAAGCAGTGGAGGATAAAGGTGGCACTACCTGATCCATGTCAGAGAGAGGGAATGAGAAGCAAAAACAGAAATGGAAACAATGATGGTAAAATACTCAGTTAAAGTAAAAAAAAGCAAGAGGTTGGGAATCCTGGATCCAAGATCAAAATGGAAGTAGCCACCTGGTGCACCAAGGCCATAATATTACTGACCATCAGAGTGTCTCTAGTAACCACTGCAGTATTGGTTGGTTCATGTTAGTGAGTGTTTAAAACTACAAATGATGTCAGAATCATAGGAACGTGAATGCACAATCCAGTTAAACCACAAAACTAATGTTTTGATGGCCTTTTTTTGTATTAGTCAGAAAGAGAGTCAATCAGGTATGGTAATGATGCATAAGCTTAATGAAAACCTTGAAAGTAATAGACAAAACCTATGTTGAAATAAATAAGTGGAACAGACATTGGGACATGTGTTGCCAAAAGTACAAGGTTTATTAAAATAAAATAAAATTGAAAAGAATGCAGATGAAAGTTCTAACTGATAATTTTAAAATTTAGTATTACTGTTTCAGATAATAATATAAGTGCACAAATTCTGGTAAATCTTATGAAAAAATTTGTTTTAAAAACAAGCAGTGCCAAAGAAAGAATAGGTCTGTATTCACATGCTAGAGCTTATGAAGATTACTGCATTTATACGATGTGTTACCCTCCTATTGGTGAAGAGCTATAGCCGAAAGAAGATGACATAACAGTTTTGTTTGTTTGTTTGTTTTTTTAATTGAGCACAAAGCTACACAATGGGCTATCTATGCTCTGCCCACCACGGATATCGAAACCCGAATATTCTAGCGTTGTAAGTCCACAGACATACTGCTGTGCCACTTTGGGGGCTGACACAACAGACTGGCACAATAAAAGTGTAGGGGTGGGAGCTTTGTTAAAAGCTTGTGGCATGCACAGGAATTTACAGGACAGTGTGCATGAGGTAATAGCTCTTTATGGTAAAGAGAGGTGAGTAGCATTACTTAATGTGAAACTCTTTATTGGAGCACAATGAATAAAACTGATTTCTGTGTACATGAAGTAGCAGTACTACATAAATATTTCTGCATCATTATATATATATATATAGCAGCATATAAGTAGAAACATTATGAATGAATTGAACACATTACAAAAATCATTCTTTTCTTATTTGCAAGAAAAATCACTTAAGTTTTTTTAAATTTTGTATTATTCTCTACATATACAAATCTAGAAATTATTAACTTCATTAGGATTACTTTAAGCTTATTTTAAAGACATACATTTTAGGTATTAAAAAAGAAAGATTTATATTTACATTTCATTTTTCTTCATATCAGTGACTTGCTTGATTATCAGGAGTGGAAGTGGGACTATGTGTTAAATCTCAGTGAAAGTGATTTTCCCATAAAGTAAGTGTTTTTATGTGAAAACTGTTTTGAAAAGCTTTTGTGTCGTAATATTAAAAGGAACATATCGTCAGTTGTTCTGTCATATTTAATGTTGATTTTGAAATAATTCTTCAAATTGTATCCACTTATGAAAATATTTTAAACAGATAAAAATAGAAGTTGTTTATCAGATTCAACAGGTCAGTGTATTGTATTTTTACATTTTTCAGTCACAAACACTAAATTACATTGTTACCTACAATGAAGAAGCATTTTAAGCAAGCTCGCTCCTCCCCAGATTGTAGAAAGCCTCCAACGAGACAGACGGATGTTGTGAAACTTCTTCTCCAGAGGCAAAAGTTCCCGGAAAAGGTAATCTTGACGCTATATGTAGTAATCACAAGTCAAATATATTTAATGTAATATTATCATTACACTGTCTTTTTTCCTGTTATAATCATCCAAGGAATTGATTTTATTTATGTTTGCTTGATATACAAATATTTTTTTTAACATGAAACTATCCACCAAGCAATCTAATATATTTGATTGTGGAATACTTCAATATTTCTAAAATTAATGTTGGATTAACGAAAACTTCACACCCCACCACTGTATATTTCCTTGGTTTGCTGGAAAAACTTAACACAAACTCAACATATTAAATAAGTTTGAAAAGCACTGTCCATCATCTATCATTTAGAAATTATTATATGTTTGTGTAAGAGAAATTTGTCCCAGAACACTGGTGACATCAAATTGGACATTTAAGAAAGCCTGGCCCTAAATGTTTAATAAAACAAATGAAAAACATGGTAAAAAGGTTAAGGAAAACATATTTAAGTGAATAAAGTCCACTTTTCAAAGCTGTAAACATAACATCTGAATAACAGACAATCAGCCCCCATGGTTATAAATTATCACTCAAGTAATCACTTTTAAGTAAAAAGCCAAGAAATCTCTGATTGGGAAAGACTGAAAGTGTGATACAAAGTGCACTACAAAAATGAAATATCATTATTGTATTAAATTAAATGGTTAAACAACATATTCTAGCCTCTAGGATAGTGAAATGCAGCAATCATCAGTTCAACAGAAAAAAAATATGAGCTTGATTTAGGCTTAATAAGCACGTGTATGTCCAGGAGATAAAAAAGAAAACATACCAAATGAGAAAACCTCCTAGTAAAGCTAATATTGCTGAGGCAACATAACATTTACAAATTCACAAAACATATTTAAGTGGTACAAATATATAACTCAATACAATTAATATTAACTTCTTAACAGAGAAAACTACGTCTTCAATAAAACTAAAATTCAACCTATTAGTGAGTATAGCTAATCAAATACATTCTTATTTATAAAGGTTAAAATGCATAATTTCATCAGTTGAATACCATTGCTGTTGACGATATTTTCAGCCATAAGCATAATAATATCTCACTAGTTTTGGCCAACTTAGA